AACAGGCCGCTCTGAAACAGGCCGCCCTGAAACAGGCCGCCCTGAAACAGGCGGTTCTGACCTAATAAGACATAGAATTTTAATAAAAAATCATTAAATAGAAATTTCATTACATGCAGCTATCCTTATATTTGAAATCTTCACCCTGTTTTTTATTCCATGCTTTGTTGTGGCCCCGTGAAAACGAGCTGGCCCCCTCCCCCCGGGCCCCTCTGGGCCCCTTGGTAAGTCTGGTCTAGAACCGTTGCTGGTTCCTGAAGCTGAATATGTTTTGGTTTGTTGATGTTTAAATGGTTTGACTGGACAGAGTGGCTATAATCTGTTACAGATTGAATGAGGGGGGTAATCCCAGCAGTGACCAGCAGAGGGCGGCAGAGCATTAAAATTCTCTGACAGGAAGTGGATATTAGATTAGATTAAATGAGCTTTATTGATCTCACAGCGGAGAAATTCACATATTGGCATAGTAATTAAAGAAGAAGGTGCAAACAAGGAGGAAAAGGTGGATATTCAGCTGCCTTTCATTAAATTAACATCTGATAACATCAGTTAGGATCAAAGTAAATGGGATCAGCTGGATTCTATGGGTGGAGGACATGAGATAAACTGAACCATAAACGGAAAACAGGATTAACTGGTGACCAGTTGGTTCACAGCATGTCTGCAGGTTTACCTGGAGGAAGGAGAGGCCTCCACTGACTGGGGGGGCATCAATAAACAGCTCCAGTCTGTGATTGGTCAATTCAGTTGACTTAGAGTGATGTCATCTAAAGTCCATTATGGGCAGCAGGTTCTGAGGAAACGACCTCCTCCTGCGCCTCCCTCAGAGACATTAAGGCTGATCGCAACTAAATCCAAGACCAATCACAACTAGTTACAGATTCTTACCCAGGACAAAAAAATTTGGGTTTTACTGGATTTAAAATGATTTTTATAAATTTTCTAATAAACAAACAATAATCACAGAAAACATATAAGAGTAAGACAATCAAATTAAGAAAACCGGCTAATGCAGAAAAACGTCTGCATTAGCCAGGGCTAACATTAGCTCGTCTGAATTAACGTTAGCTCGTCTGAATTAACGTTAGCTCGTCTGAATTAGCCAGGGCTAACGTTAGCTCGTCTGAGCCAGGGGTAACGTTAGCTTGTCTGCATTAGCCAGGGCTAACGTTAGCTCGTCTGCAGTGGCCATCGCTCTGCATAGGCATGTGTGAGGTACCGCTGACTTTGATGGAGGCTTTTTTGTTTTATTCTGCAAAATGTTCATTTGATTTCATTATTATTCTTCCACTAAATGAAAAAAGTCATAATTTATTATTATCTAGAGACTAAAAATCCTCCTTCTAACATATAAAGCCTTAAATGGCCAAGCTCCATCTGATATCAGAGATCTGATTGTTCCTTATGTTCCTAACAGAG